ATTATTGGTCATCGGGGGAGGGGGCATCTCCAGCATAATGGCCTTAATTGGGGGCAACTCCATAACGCCATATTATTGGTCATCGGGGGAGGGGGCATCTCCAGCATAATGGCCTTAATTGGGGGCAACTCCATAATAATGGTAATGGGGGAGAAATGCCATATTATTGGTCATCGGGGGGCAGGGGGGCATCTCTAGTGTAATGGCCATAATGGGGGGCAACTCTAATAATAATGATAATGGGGGAGAAATGCAATATTATTGGTCATCGGGGGGAGGGGGCATCTCCAGCGTAATGGTCATAATTGGGGACAACTCCATAATAATGACAATGGGATAGAAACTCCATATTAGTGATCACGGGGGGGGAAACTCTATATTAATGCCACAATGGGGGCAAATCCGTAATAATGGTCATGGGGGGGGCAATTGCATAATAATGACAATGGGGGAAACTCCATAAAAAGGACAATAGGGGGAACTCCAGAACAAAGACAATGGGGGAACTCCATAATAATGACAATGGGGGGAACTCTATAACAAAGACAATGGGGGGAACCCCATAAAAAGGACAATGGGGGGAACCCCATAATAATGACAATGGGGGGAACACCATAACAAGGACAATGGGGGGAACTCCATAACAAGGACAATGGGGGGAACACCATAACAAGGACAATGGGGGGAACACCATAAAAAGGACAATGGGGGGAACTCCATAATAATGACAATGGGGGGAACACCATAACAAGGACAATGGGGGGAACACCATAACAAGGACAATGGGGGGAACTCCATAACAATGACAATGGGGGAACCCCATAACAAGGACAATGGGGGGAACTCCATAATAATGACAGTGGGGGGAAATCCATAAAAAGGACAATGGAGAGAACTCCATAATAATGACAATGGGGGGAACCCCATAATAATGACAATGGGGGGAACTCCATAACAAGGACAATGGGGGGAACACCATAACAAGGACAATGGGGGGAACCCCATAAAAAGGACAATGGGGGGAACCCCATAAAAAGGACAATGGGGGGAACTCCATAATAATGACAATGGGGGGAACACCATAACAAGGACAATGGGGGGAACACCATAACAAGGACAATGGGGGGAACACCATAACAAGGACAATGGGGGGAACTCCATAATAATGACAATGGGGGGAACGCCATAACAAGGACAATGGGGGGAAAATCCATAAAAAGGACAATGGAGAGAACTCCATAATAATGACAATGGGGGGAACGCCATAACAAGGACAATGGGGGAACGCCATATGAATGACAATGGGGGGAACTCCATATGAATGACAATGGGGGGAACTCCATATGAATGACAATGGGGGGGAACTCCATAATGAATTACCAGGATCTGGGGACAAGATGGTAAGAAGCTCTCAGAGTTGTGGTGGTTGTGGGGGTCACCAACATTTGGCCTTGTAGCCCATGTAGTAGTCACCGTTTAGTAACCGGATCGGCTCATGTCTTCATTCAGAGAATTTCTTTTTTGTGTTGATTTGTTGGCCCAATTCTTCCTATTTTACTGTAAGCAAAAAAAAAAAAAAAAAAAAATGAAATAATAAAAAAGCGGGGTGATGAATCCTGCCTGGCGTGGAGGGAAGGCGTGGAGGGAAGGGGGGTGGAGGGTAGGCGTTTGGAGGGAAGGCGTGGAGGGAAGGCGTGGAGGGTAGGCGTGGAGGGAAGGCGTGGGGGGAAGGCGTGGAGGGAAGGCGTGGAGGGTAGGCGTGGAGGGTAGGCGTGGAGGGAAGGCGTGGAGGGAAGGGCGTGGAGGGAAGGCGTGGAGGGTAGGCGTGGAGGGAAGGCGTGGAGGGTAGGCGTGGAGGGAGGGCGTGGAGGGTAGGGCGTGGAGGGAAGGCGTGGAGGAAGGCGTGGAGGGAAGGCGTGGAGGGAAGTAGTGGAGGGAAGGCGTGGAGGGTAGGCGTGGAGTCTAGGCGTGGAGGGTAGGCGTGGAGGGAAGGCGTGGAGGGAAGGGTGGAGGGTAGGCGTGGAGGGAAGGCGTTGGAGGGGAAGGCGTGGAGGGAAGGCGTGGAGGGTAGGCGTGGAGGGAAGGCGTGGTGGGAAGGCGTGAGGGAGGGAGGGTGGCGTGGAGGGTAGCGTGGAGGGTAGGCGTGGAGGGAAGGCGTGGAGGGTAGGCGTGGAGGGAAGGCGTGGAGGCGGGAAGGCGTGGAGGGAAGGCGTGGAGGGTAGGCGTGGAGGGAAGGCGTGGAGGGAAGGCGTGGAGGGATAGGCGTGGAGGGGAAGGCGTGGAGGGATAGGCGTGGAGGGAAGGCGTGGAGGGAAGGCGTGGAGGGAGGCGTGGAGGGTAGGCGTGGAGGGTAAGGCGTGGAGGGAAGCGTGGAGGGGGGCGTGGGGGATGCGTGGAGGGAAGGCGTGGAGGGTAGGCGTGGAGGGAAGGCGTGGAGGGAAGGCGTGGAGGGAAGGCGTGGAGGGAAGGCGTGGAGGGTAGGCGTGGAGGGAAGGGCGGGAGGGAAGGCGTGGAGGGTAGGCGTGGAGGGAAGGCGTGGAGGGTAGGCGTGGAGGGAAGGCGTGGAGGGTAGGCGTGGGGGAAGGCGTGGAGGGAAGGCGTGGAGGGAAGGCGTGGAGGGAAGGCGTGGAGGGTAGGCGTGGAGGGAAGGCGTGGAGGGAAGGCGTGGAGGGTAGGCGTGGAGGGAAGGCGTGGAGGGAAGGCGTGGAGGGTAGGCGTGGAGGGAAGGCGTGGAGGGAAGGCGTGGAGGGAAGGCGTCTTCGCGGCGTTGGTTGCAGATTGAATTATCTATGGAGACGAAGGCTGCTAGGAATCTGTAGGACGGCTGTCAGGCGTAATGGCGGATGGTTAATGGCGTGTTCTTTGTGTAACTACAGGCAATTCTTCTTAACTGGGTATGAAATGAACGGCGGTGAAGAATCGTCGGCGCGGCCGCCGCGCCTCCAGTCTGCGCTCATTATTCAGCCCTAAGGAGGGAGAATTGTATCATAACACATGATGACAATGAGCCGCGCCGGGGCCCCGGGGACAAAAGCATATTGTATGCGTTCATGACGAGACGCGGCCCGGGGGGAGCGGCGGGAATTCATGAATCCATCAGGGGAAATGTCATGCGTTTATTACAATAAAAATGCAAAACCGCGAATTTATAAAAAGCGCATTCAGATACGGCCGCATGAGCGTCCATATTGGCAGAATAATCCAATCCCTGCAAATCTGGGCTCCGGCCTTCCCTCCCACTCTTCAGCATTCCCCTTTCCCGCCAGTTTTTTTTTCTTTTCTCCTTTTTGTCTTCTGGATGATGTGATGACATCATGGCGGGGGCGGGCGCTGTGCTCAGGGGGTGTGGCCATGACTCCCCGCACTCACAGACTTTCCTCAGTCTTCTGGGCGTCATTCAATCCAGAAAACTGAGGACATCTTGTGGTGAAGAAGAGGTACCACATGGGACAACTCTGGATTGAAACAAGCATTGCAGCCAGAGCTGCTTTTTTTTTTTTTTTTTTTTTTAAAAAAGGCCAAATTTGGTCAATAATATACAATAAGTACCATTTCTTACCGGATGAAGTCACAGAGGTCGTTAAAGCGGCACTACCCTCTGCAGGATGCCCCCTCCCCCTTCCGGTGTCGCAATGATGACATTCCACGCTGGCTGCTGTCACCTTCTCCTTGGCTACGTCCTGGTTTTCTGACTCTTGATTGGCCGATGGGGGGGGTGGTGAAGTGATCCTGTGCATGCACACACCGCTGCAGTGCTCTAGGAATGCGCGCATGCGCAGGCAGGTAAGTGGGTGAAGTATGCCTCTTCCACCACGAATATCTGCCGGCTCACATATTTTTTTTTTTTTCCTTTGATTATTTAGTTCCACTTTAATAAAACCGACAAAAATGCTGCAAGTGTTATATATTGTATTCCTGGATGAATAAAACGAACATTTTGGAAATCACATCAAGAGAGTCAAGGATGGGGGGGGGGGGGGGTACCGGCCGCCATCGGCGCAAACAATAACCAGCTGCAGAGCCATCTTCACTGTTCAGACATTTATTTTGCAATATGGCTATTTCATTTATTAATATTTATTTACATGCATTCAATTTTAATACATCGATTTATTTATTTATATTTATTTATGTGTATTTATTCATTCAATTATTTTTGTTATTTTCACATATTTATTTATTTACTTATATTTATTTATGTACGTATTTATTTATTCAATCAATTATTTTTATTTATTTTCACATATTTATTTATTTACTTATATTTATTTATGTACGTATTTATTTATTTATTCATTCAATTATTTTATTTATTTTCACAGATTTATTTACTTATATTTATTTATGTACGTATTTATTTATTCATTCAATTGTTTTATTTTTTTTCACATATTTATTTATTTATTTATTTATTTATGTTTATTTATTACGTATTTATTTTATTTATTCATTTATTTCAATTATTTATTATTAATTTTTCACAGATTTATTTTTTTACATTTTTATTTACTTATATTTATTTATGTATGTATTTATTTATTCATTCAATTGATTTATTTATTTTCACATAATTTATTTATTTATTTACTTATATTTATTTATGTACGTATTTATTTATTCATTCAATTGTTTTATTTTTTTTTCACATATTTATTTATTTATGTTATTTATTTATGTACGTATTTATTTATTCATTCAATTATTTTATTTATTTTCACAGATTTATTTTATTTATTTACTTATATTTATTTATGTACATATTTATTCATTCAATTGTTTTATTTATTTTCACATAATTATTTATTTACTTATATTTATTTATGTACGTATTTATTTATTTTATTTAAATAAATTTATTTATTTATTTTTTTTATTCATTCAATTATTTTTTAATTATTAGTCATTCAATTATTTTTATTTTCACAGATTTATTTACTTATATTTATTATAATAAATACAGTGGGAAGAATGTCCCTTACATTGGGGGGTCAGTGGGAAGAATGTCCCTTACATTGGGGGTCAGTGGGAAGAATGTCCCTTACATTGGGGGTCAGTGGGAAGAATGTCCCTTACATTGGGGGTCAGTGGGAAGAATGTCCCTTACATTGGTGATCAGTGTGAAGAATGTCCCTTACATTGGTGGTCAGTGGGAAGAATGTCCCTTACATTGGGGGTCAGTGGGAAGAATGTCCCTTACATTGGGGGTCAGTGGGAAGAATGTCCCTTACATTGGTGGTCAGTGGGAAGAATGTCCCTTACATTGGGGGTCAGTGGGAAGAATGTCCCTTACATTGGTGGTCAGTGGGAAGAATGTCCCTTACATTGGGGGTCAGTGGGGAAGAATGTCCCTTACATTGGTGATCAGTGGGAAGAATGTCCCTTACATTGGTGGTCAGTGGGAAGATTGTCCCTTACATTGGTGATCAGTGGGAAGAATGTCCCTTACATTGGGGGGGTCAGTGGGAAGAATGTCCCTTACATTGGTGATCAGTGTGAAGAATGTCCCTTACATTGGTGTCCCTTCAGTGGGTGGGAAGAATGTCCCTTACATTGGGGGTCAGTGGGAAGAATGTCCCTTACATTGGGGGTCAGTGGGAAGAATGTCCCTTACATTGGTGGTCAGTGGGAAGAATGTCCCTTACATTGGGGGTCAGTGGGAAGAACGCTCCTTACATTGGTGGTCAGTGGGAAGAATGTCCCTTACATTGGGGGTCAGTGGGAAGAACGTCCCTTACATTGGTGGTCAGTGAGAAGAATGTCCCTTACATTGGTGGTCAGTGGGAAGAATGTCCCTTACATTGGGGGGGTCAGTGGGAAGAATGTCCCTTACATTGGGGGTCACTGGGAAGAATGTCCCTTACATTGGTGATCAGTGGGAAGAATGTCCCTTACATTGGGGATCAGTGAGAAGAATGTCCCTTACATTGGGGGTCAGTGGGAAGAATGTCCCTTACATTGGTGGTCAGTGGGAAGAATGTCCCTTACATTGGTGGTCAGTGGGAAGAACGCTCCTTACATTGGTGGTCAGTGGGAAGAATGTCCCTTACATTGGGGGTCAGTGGGAAGAATGTCCCTTACATTGGGGGTCAGTGGGAAGAATGTCCCTTACATTGGGGGTCAGTGGGAAGAATGTCCCTTACATTGGGGGTCAGTGGGAAGAATGTCCCTTACATTGGTGGTCAGTGGGAAGAATGTCCCTTACATTGGTGGTCAGTCAGTGGGAAGAATGTCCCTTACATTGGTGGTCAGTGGGAAGAATGTCCCTTACATTGGGGGTCAGTGGGAAGAATGTCCCTTACATTGGTGGTCAGTGGGAAGAATGTCCCTTACGTTGGTGGTCAGTGGGAAGAATGTCCCTTACATTGGTGATCAGTGGGAAGAATGTCCCTTACATTGGTGATCAGTGGGAAGAATGTCCCTTACATTGGGGGTCAGTGGGAAGAACGTCCCTTACATTGGGGGTCAGTGGGAAGAATGTCCCTTACGTTGGTGGTCAGTGGGAAGAACGTCCCTTACGTTGGGGGTCAGTGGGAAGAATGTCCCTTACGTTGGGGGTCAGTGAGAAGAATGTCCCTTACGTTGGGGGTCAGTGGGAAGAATGTCCCTCACGTTGGGGGTCAGTGGGAAGAATGTCCCTCACGTTGGGGGTCAGTGGGAAGAATGTCCCTCACGTTGGGGGTCAGTGGGAAGAATGTCCCTTACATTGGGGGTCAGTGGGAAGAATGTCCCTTACATTGGGGGTCAGTGGGAAGAATGTCCCTTACATTGGGGGTCAGTGGGAAGAATGTCCCTTACATTGGTGATCAGTGGGAAGAATGTCCCTTACATTGGGGATCAGTGGGAAGAATGTCCCTTACATTGGTGATCAGTGGGAAGAATGTCCCTTACATTGGTGGTCAGTGGGAAGAATGTCCCTTACATTGGGGGGTCAGTGGGAAGAATGTCCCTTACATTGGGGATCAATGGGAAGAATGTCCCTTACATTGCGTATCAGTGGGAAGAATGTCCCTTACATTGGGGGATCAGTGGGAAGAATGTCCCTTACATTGGGGGTCGGTGGGAAGAATGTCCCTCACATTGGGGGTCAGTGGGAAGAATGTCCCTTACATTGGTGGTCAGTGGGAAGAATGTCCCTTACATTGGGGGTCAGTGGGAAGAATGTCCCTTACATTGGGGGTCAGTAGGAAGAATGTCCCTTACATTGGGGGTCAGTAGGAAGAATGTCCCTTACATTGGGGGTCAGTAGGAAGAATGTCCCTTACATTGGGGGTCAGTAGGAAGAATGTCCCTTACATTGGGGGTCAGTAGGAAGAATGTCCCTTACATTGGGGGTCAGTAGGAAAAATGTCCCTTACATTGGTGGTCAGTGGGAAGAATGTCCCTTACATTGGAGGTCAGTGGGAAGAATGTCCCTTACATTGGGGGTCAGTGGGAAGAATGTTCCTTACATTGGGGGTCAGAGGGAAGAATGTCCCTCACATTGGGGGTCAGTGGGAAGAACGTCCCTTACATTGGGGGTCAGTGGGAAGAATGTCCCTTACATTGGTGATCAGTGGGAAGAATGTCCCTTACATTGGGGGTCAGTGGGAAGAATGTCCCTTACATTGGGGGTCAGTGGGAAGAATGTCCCTTACATTGGTGATCAGTGGGAAGAATGTCCCTTACATTGGAGGTCAGTGGGAAGAATGTCCCTTACATTGGGGGTCAGAGGGAAGAATGTCCCTCACATTGGGGGTCAGTGGGAAGAACGTCCCTTACATTGGGGGTCAGTGGGAAGAATGTCCCTTACATTGGTGATCAGTGGGAAGAATGTCCCTTACATTGGAGGTCAGTGGGAAGAATGTTCCTTACATTGGGGGTCAGTGGGAAGAATGTCCCGTACATTGGGGGTCAGTGGGAAGAATGTCCCTTACATTGGGGGTCAGTGGGAAGAATGTCCCTTACATTGGGGGTCAGTGGGAAGAATGTCCCGTACATTGGGGGTCAGTGGGATAGTTCTAGATGGACCATCCTAGACCATGGAACTTTGGTTCAATACGATACATTTACAGAGTGTACTAGATGTCTGCATGATGGATAAAGCCTCAGGTCTCTCCAGGACCACCATGTGCTCCTCCTTGTTCTGACTGAAGAGCTCTCAGTTTTCTGGGGAGGTGGTGGTCAGGCTCCTCCCATCTGTTCCGGTACATTCTGAGTCCTCGGTGACAGTGCAGAAGGTTTCGTTGTAGTTGAGTTTCATCTTCTCTACGGCTTCCTTGGAAACTCCGACCCACTCCTGTCAGGGAGACAAAGAAGACCTCACTGACCTGTCCCACCACCATTTTCAATTGTCAGGAGATAACGAGCCCAAAGTGGGACATCGAGGACTAAATATTGTCTAAAGTAACCATTTTGTAGCAATGTGCCTTCAAGTATCAGCAGATGTGGAGGCCCCGCCCACCGCCTGGGCTCCACAGTAATGCAGGACTCAAGGGACACAGAGATACTCCCTGGGGCCACAAGCTTCCAACTAGACGAGTATTGATACCCTGGACACATTGAGGGCCATAACAGCTTAACTTTAGATACAATGTCCATCCCACACATACAGAAAGTCCATAACTCATCCCCGTTCGTTGTCTTCCATAACTCATCTCCGTTTGTTACCTTCCATAACTCATCTCCGTTTGTTACCTTCCATAACTCATCTCCTTTTGTTACCTTCCATAACTCATCTCCTTTTGTTACCTTCCATAACTCATCTCCGTTTGTTACCCTCCATAACTCATCTCCTTTTGTTACCTTCCAAAACTCATCTCCGTTTGTTACCTTCCATAACTCATCTCCTTTTGCTACCTTCCATAACTCATCTCCGTTTGTTGTCTTCCATAACTCATCTCCGTTTGTTGTCTTCCATAACTCATCTCCGTTTGTTACCTTCCATAACTCATCTCCGTTTGTTACCTTCCATAACTCATCTCTGTTTGTTGTCTTCCATAACTCATCCCCGTTTGTTACCTTCCATAACTCATCTCCGTTTGTTGTCTTCCATAACTCATCTCCGTTTGTTACCTTCCATAACTCATCTCCGTTTGTTACCTTTCCATAACTCATCTCCGTTTGTTACCTTCCATAACTCATCTCCGTTTGTTACCTTTCCATAACTCATCTCCGTTTGTTGTCTTCCATAACTCATCTCCGTTTGTTACCTTCCATAACTCATCTCCGTTTGTTACCTTCCATAACTCATCTCCGTTTGTTACCTTTTCATAACTCATCTCCGTTTGTTGTCTTCCATAACTCATCTCCGTTTGTTACCTTCCATAACTCATCCCTGTTTGTTACCTTCCATAACTCATCTCCGTTTGTTGTCTTCCATAACTCATCTCCGTTTGTTGTCTTCCATAACTCATCCCTGTTTGTTACCTTCCATAACTCATCTCCGTTTGTTACCTTCCATAACTCATCTCCGTTTGTTACCTTCCATAACTCATCTCCGTTTGTTACCTTCCATAACTCATCTCCGTTTGTTACCTTTCCATAACTCATCTCCGTTTGTTGTCTTCCATAACTCATCTCCGTTTGTTACCTTCCATAACTCATCTCCGTTTGTTACCTTCCACAACTCATCTCCATTTGTTACCTTCCAGAACTCATCTCCGTTTGTTACCTTCCATAACTCATCTCCGTTTGTTGTCTTCCAGAACTCATCTCCGTTTGTTACCTTCCAGAACTCATCTCCGTTTGTTGTCTTCCATAACTCATCTCCGTTTGTTACCTTTCCATAACTCATCTCCGTTTGTTGTCTTCCATAACTCATCTCCGTTTGTTACCTTTCCATAACTCATCTCCGTTTGTTACCTTCCATAACTCATCTCCGTTTGTTACCTTTCCATAACTCATCTCCGTTTGTTACCTTCCATAACTCATCTCCGTTTGTTGTCTTCCAGAACTCATCTCCGTTTTGTACCAAATGTGGTTTTCTTCGTATAACTAAACAAATACCCTCCATGTGTACGGCTTAGTTCCATGTAGCCCCGCCTCCTGACCCACCTACACCCCTCCCCCCAAGGAACCCAACCCCCTCACCCCCCTCCCTAATGTACGTAGCCATCCCCACCCCCACACATCATCCTGGGCTGGTGGCCACATCTTACCGACACATCTGGTTGCCATCACCGATTCTTTGTCACCTCTAACCAGATGTGTCTCCATTCTTCCCGGCGACACCCGACCTGACGTCTGATAGGATCCAATAGGATCTCAGATCTCCTACTGAACAGCCCAGAAATGAGAGTTCTCTGGACACACCAATCACAGAACAGGCCACGTTTTCTAGTCCCTCTACTTTCCGTAGGAACCTGAACTGGTCCTGAACCCCGTACCTGAACGTTGCAACCGTTGATGAGCTCTTCAAATTTTTTCCCAGGGTTGGGAATCTGAGGGACGAGGATCACCCATATCCTGCATGGAAAGGAAAGGAGTCAGTAGAGCCACCAGCAAAGACAACTGCAAAACATGGAGATATCATGGTGGTCCCTGGGGACGCCTGGGACCTTCATCAGGTTTGTAATGAGAAGGACCTCTAGATATCAGTGGACTGGTGCTGTGGTGGAACTTCTGACCCATCAGCTCTTTATGAGGCAGCTTTCAAATGTCTGATGGACTTGGCGCCCGGGAAGGGGGGGGGGGGGGGTTTGTAGAAGAAAAGAGTGTCGGTGCTTTGTTTACGGTCCAGATGTAGTTTATCGGTCACAGAAATTGTGTACAAAATTCCACTGGGGTTCAAGTGTTCAAAGGACCACATCACCAGGGCACAATGATATCAACAGAGCCACGGATTACCATAAATGTGCTGAGATGATGATCACTGGGCTTTATTTATAAACAAAGGGCAATGGTTCTCATTAGAGTACAGGTAAGGGTAGTGTTAGATTTAGGGTTGGCTTTGTTTACCATATTAAGTGTTGAAATGATGATCACTGGGCTTTATTTATAAACAAAGTGCAACGGTTCTCATTAGAGTACAGGTAAGGGTAGTGTTAAATTTAGGGTTGGCTTTGTTTATCAACAAAGCCACTGATTACCATGTAATTGC